ATACAAAGGCAAACATGAGACACGCGATCAAAAAGTTACAAAGTGAAAATAATTTCACACATCAAATTTGATAAATGTAAATTTTCCGAGGATTATAAAAGGGGTAAATCGTAGTAAAAAATATTATACTTTGATAGTTTCATCTCATAATCATTAGATAAAAGATTGAATTATTTTATTTGATAGGCCTACTCCTAACATAACAAAAAATTACCCCTTCACCCAAAACCACTGCGGTATATAGCTCGAAAACACTACTCGGTGTCAGTGACTGGCAAAAACATAAAGAGTACTGTTCGGCAAATGGGGATGACTTATGTCACCAACAATGTATTTTTTTTCTGTGGCCAGTAAACTTTCTTGCAACCCAAGGGCTTGCGTTGCAAAGGATTGTGCTACATTTCTTTTTCAGCGTGGCACATTTTCTTCTATGTAAATCTGATTTATGGTGAGCTTAAATTCAGATATTGCTGCACTCGGTTTTACTGTAAGGAATATCATGATTAATATTATCATATTATAATAATTCCTTTTTCTAAGACCTATGAAAGTGCTGTCTGTTATTGTAACGTGACTTATATTCTTCAGATCACGTCTCAAATGTTTTGCAATTCCGACAGTAATCGAAAGTCTTTGCCCAAGCAAAGTTTTTTCAGTTTTGTATCCATTACACAATTGTTTTATCAATAGGCGCATTTCCTTAATTTCGAAAAATCAGCAATGTTACATGGACGTTAAGTTGTCCTGAAAAATTTGTGTGAACCATGTCCTTCTTTGATCGAAGAATCTATACGTGACTTCTGGCTTGCTTATTTTTAACACCATTCCAGACTCTCGTGTCCCATCCACATAATCCACATACAAAAATTTAAAACCATCCTATTCACCATGTTAGTTCCTGTTCACCACTAACAAAATGTGAACAGCAAATGAATTATTTGTAATTTAAGAAATGATCAAAGGTTGCAATTTCCCCAAGAATGTAAAGCCTTTTTCATGAATGTTTCAGTTGGTCTTGACGGGAATAAGAACGGTTTGCAACGACCTTCAAGACGAAGAGGCGAATCGGTGGCAGAAATGTCGGATCCATCGCCCTCTGCATTTCCAGGTTTTAATTTAAATTTTAAGGAATAACTTACACTTAAAATTTAATGATACATAAAAGCATGGAAACATACATGCCTTCATGTAATTTCGAGTGAGGTGTACGTTACGAATTTTCGGCAGATAAACAAGCAATATCGCGAATTTTGACGTAAACAGCTTCGAGCGCCATTTTCTCGGGACTTGGTTATAATGCCTCTGTGGACGGATTCCCGACTTCGTGAAAGCCTAATGATGTATACACCTTGAAAAAAATTGTATATATGCAAAGAGTCACTCGTGCATGTTAATTTCTCTGAAACATCGAACATCCAACCAAAACTCACAAAATCAGTACTGCATTATTAACATCCACAGACCAAAAATACTTCCTATGAAAGCATATGGACTGTCAAATATCCAACATTGAACTAAAAACCTACACTATTGAAAACCGACGCGAACGTCGGATATTCAAACGAACCTATCTTCGTATTTGTGAGTGTAAACTATCATAACTGAACTGACACAATCATTGTACAAACAATTATTGATTCATGAAAAGACTTTTCTTTCCAGACTCTGGTTCTAGTTCTATTCTGCGCAAGCACCTCCTCAGTGGTTATCACGCAAAAGTCGGAGTGAGGGACATAGTGGTTAAATTTTAAAGCAAGCTTTTAGTACAAGGTTGAAAAGGTCCAGATGTTCAATCCTACTTTTGAATGTCTTGACATCAGGAATAGATCGTATGCTAGGTGGTTTTCCACTATTGTCCTTGGATAAAGAGAGTATTGATAACACAGTTTGTTGAAGTTTGGGGGATTAATGATGTGGGGGTCCAGTATTGTGTCTTGTTGCGTAGGTATTGGTTCCACCAGGTGCTGGCAGATTTGATGGCGTAATATTGTGCATTTCCTTGTAAACTACAGTGAGTCGAAGTCAAATTCTGCGGAGCTCCAGAGTGTCCCATTTTAGAGAATTCATCATGTTATTTACGCTTGAGATCCGTTTGTAGTCATCACAAACGAAGCAGGCTGCCCCAAGTTGTACTTTCTCCAGGGTGATCTTATTGTTATTGTGGGAAAGGATCCCATGTAGCCCCTCAGAATAATTTCGTTCGGTTGAGCGGGGTAGCGAATATGAACGAAATTAAGTTCTTACTGTGAATATATCACTCTGCGTCCCGGAAGTGCACTGAACTGTGAGTCTTGGGTATATACATGTAAGTCAGGGTGTAGCAAAAATGTACCATCTGCGGTCCGACAGGCAAACACTTCTTCCATCATAGCAACTTATTCTTATTATTTGCAAGGCTTTTTTCCCATTTTTTTCCAAAAGGTTTTTCCCACTGGGTTTTTTCCAGCAGGTTCTTCCCAACGGGGTTTTCCAACCTACAAATAATATGAATGAAGTTGTGATGCTGATGGAAATAGCCATTGTATTTATATATCAATTATTTATCACAAGCTTTTAATTCACTTGTCATGAACCACGGTCCATCCTATTTCAGTATAAGTATAGTATTAATTTTTAAAAAAGGTAAGTATTAAACGATAACGATTGCACGTCTCCCACTTAGTAATGCGCCGTAACATTACACTGGAATGTCTGGATTGTAAGGACAGTCTATGGTATTAGTCAGAGATCTATAAGAAGTGTAATTATAACGATATCAGATCCTTTAGGTCACAGTGAGGAGTTTTCCATAATTCTGAATATCAATTAAACGAAAGAAGTAATGAGTAAAAGGGATTGGTATGCCTGTCGGTCGCCCTCCCAGAGTTGCAACCTAAGTGTCATTGACTCATTAAGAATCCAGTTTGGGTCTGACAAGGGCCTTGTAGGCATTCTCTTTGACCGATTTACAACAAGCACGAAGATTTCTTTTGAGGAGCCAGGAGTTCTGTTTGCTTTGCTAGACATTTGGTTAATATTCCTTGCCCAGCTTAGTTAAACTCCAAGATATGGATGATGGTCGGTTGCTAGCGGAGTATGATTACCCATATTGATGTATATCATCTGTCTGTTCACACAGCTGAATTAAACTCTGTCGTTAAGATTTTAATGGGGAAATGCGGAATCCTGCATAGCGTCTGTGAGATGAAATACGATACGGGAATTTGTCACGGCATTGAAATCAATTATTATTTATCACTTTGGGCAAAAAACTCTCGGCGCCTGTAATTGGCAAAGTATTAATCGGGGTACCGCAGAAGCAGACAGAAGTGTCTACCATATTAGATTCAACAATATTAACACATACAATGATCTTTTTCTTATGACGTTTGTCGATCAATTTACTCAGCTAAGACCGCCTGGTTTGCTTTACTTTCAAAGCAGATGTAGCCACCTTTCATGCGGGAATTCGGAGACCGAGAGAATTAATGGGTAAAATCTGGAAGTCTGGCGCAACATTGACGAAAGAAGGTCGTTTCAGATGTGTCATGTGCTAGATTTTTTTTAAGTTGATGGAATCAACTCGTGTTAGTGTGTTTTAATGTATGTAAATTTCTGGAAGTATATTGATACAATTTCTGTCACGATTTTTACTTTTCTGTTTGCGCCAACTTTCTCGGTGCACCGAACGCAAGTTTCGAAATAACTTTGTGGTTTTTACATAGATTTGTGTTCATTCCTAAGATGTTATGACATTGAAAATCCTTCAGTTATTTTACTTTCTATACTCTCTCTCTCTCTCTCTCTCTCTCTCTCTCTCTCTCTCTCTCTCTCTCTCTCTCATTCAAACGCTTCAGGCCTACAATCGGGGATTTGTTTCGGAGACAAAGCCTGACACGGAAACAAAGTTGAGTATTGGAAAACGGCCGAGATTTCAGTGACCCTTAGCGCTACGAGAATCGCAGCCTACGCTAAAATTTGAGTGCTAATATATATAATAATAAGGAACATTTATATTGCACTGACACTATTCCAATATACTCACCTGCGCATAACAATACCCATCACTAGCAGAGATGAAAATCAGGTGTTGGAAAAAGCTTCAATGACATACAAAAAATAGGCCGACTGGGGTCGTTCGAGTGTAACTTAATAGCGCATAGGCATACTCATTGTTACAAGCCGCTGACTACAGGCCGAACTATAGTTTGCGCCCGAGCTTGCCCTCTTATTTTATGCTGTAGTCACATTGTTTCTTTATATTGTAATTGTGATTTATGTATGGAAAACAAACCAAGCCAAACCAATATTTCAAGTATTACGCCGTCACTCAGTACGGTACCTTTTCTTTTTCAAAGAAATTAAGGAGTGAACTTTTTTGCCCTGGGAATTTGGACCGCTCATTTTCTCAAGGTGGGCACTCAGTGGGTTCGGTTACAATTAAAACACTGACCAAGGTGGACTTTCACCAGATTTTTCCCTTCTCTAATCTCTGAGCGAGGGCGGCACACGAGAGCCACAGGCCGCTGGAGGGAGGGGTGTCCGCATGACCCCTCCCCCCAATCAAGCCACTATAAACGATATAAAAACTTCGTCCAGAATCAGAAAACTCCAACTGTACTTTAGCATATTATTGTATTTTAATGTAACGCTTTAAACGGCAAGTACAAAAATTCGTCTTGTCGAACCATTGCTCAATCTGTGAACTGAACTGTGGAACATGAGCGTTTTAATATTCTCTTCAATTTAAGAAAAATTATATCTGTAGGGGGGGTAAGACTCTTGGTGAAAAGTGCACTTTGTAAAATAATGGCCAAATACTTCGTGCTTTACCTTGCAAGTAATGTTTTTAATAATGAAAACACCACCAAGAATTAAGAAAAGCAAAAATAAAAGAAAATATGGAGGCCAGACACAATTTTTAGCCCTATGCAGGATGACGCTTCAGTCACTGAGGGTTTAACCTTAATACCCTTTCCCGTTGGTCTACGTACCTGTATGTGCAAACATATGGAGCTTACCGAGTGGGTTGTCAGGGTTGTCCGCAGGATCGTGATAAACCTTGACAAGGAAAATCAGCAGGATTATAAAGATGACGGAAGTGTTGAAGTAGGACACGTAGAACGTGGCGCCTAGGCCCCCAATGAAAGTGTAGGCGCCGATCACAGCCGCTAATGTCATCGCGGCCAGTTCGAGACTTAGGCCGTCCACGAGGGTCGTCAAAACAGCACAACCTCCTTGAAGAGAGAACATGAAACAGACAAAGAAAGCGAATGGATAACATTTCAAAAGCAATCAGCTTATCATTCTGATTGATGAAACACTTTTAGTCAGAAAATAAAGCTTTAAATGTCTTCAATGATATGATGGGTTAAAAGGCTCCCGTTATTTATCTACAAAACAAGACAGGATCCACTATTGCCTATTCGGGCTGATTTTGCCTCTATCAGTACAGCAATGTCGGGTTTTTATATAAACTTTCCATCAACAAAGACACCTTCATGTTACAGGTCATAATGTATAATGCACTCGATCCAGCGATTAATTTGCATTGGTATCACTGTTTCAACCCCTGCAAATCTGTAACCACTTTGCCCAGTACGGTCAAAGAAAAACAGAGAAAGTCGCCCAAATTTTAAAATAACGGTGTCAAAATGTGAGACAGGCACATTTCCAAGCTGTAGCCCACTCGAGTAAACACTATTGGCAAGGCAGTGATATTTGAAAAGTGCATGAGTTGGAATTATTTTATTTAGGATAAAGGCTGAACAGTTTCTGGTCAGGGCCGGAAGGGACGGTACCAGTATAGGAACAGTGTAAAATACGAAATATTTAAGGGCCGACGAAAAGTTGAAGGTCTATAAAAATGATTTTGTTCTACAAAACACGAACAGCTACACATTCACGCACACAGAGTAGAAAGTTTCAACGTCGCTGTCACAGTTTGGAAAAGCTTCAAACTGGATTGCTTACTCCATGGATCATAACAAAATGCGAGGCGGTAATGTTAATCAGCAGCATAAAAGTGGTGTTTGTATATACGCTGGAGCGCGTAATTATTATTTTCCTAGGAAGGTTAGGGGTAAGTACAAAGTGCGTATCTGAACCCTCGTACATGCGTTTTGCCGTAGGAAGATTTGGGGCAATAAATGGGGTGGACGAACCTTTACGCATATTATGCAACAAAATTGCTCCCGGCCAGTTGCCCGGTAGATTTTTGGAAGAGGGACACAGACGAAGTTACAACTCTTCACTTCAAAGTGTTCCATGATCATCGCCGCGCGGTCAGACGAACCATAGTAAACATTTCAAAAATGCCTGATTAGTGCCTGCGGCTTAGCCGGACAAGTGGGGCCCGTCAAATATATTTGTGGAGTTTTCTTTGCAATTAGCTACACCCTATCGCTGTGACCAGGAAATAGAGAAAAAAATCTCTGACATTAGATTTACTTCTGCCATCGTGAATAAACTTTTTCTAAATTTTTGATACACTGTTCCATTATTCATGCAATGTTTGTAATTTTATTTTGTCACTCCAAGACACCAGTTTTCAACGTCTTTGTACGAATTAGGCTAAGACTGGCCAACAACATGTTGACCACCACAGCACAGTTAAGTTAATTTAACGAACAAAGTGCGCTATTTCATTACAAGGAGTGATCATGAGATCTCATAAGATACCTTTTTGGTATAAATTCCGTATTAAAAATGATTCAAATAAAACACAAAATCTTGTGTTATTTACAACTTGGTTATTTACCCCCAAAATAAGTCCAGATAAAAGCGTTCGATAAGGGCAATAAATGCACATGAATACTACAGGAACACAGCCTAATACAAGCAACTGCGCAAGCATTAAGTTTGATGTTGTCAGATCATACCAAGCACCAAATAAGGCGTGAATATTTAATTTCCTTTAGTTCAGTACACCAAGTTTTAAAAGTGCAGATTACCAGTGAAAAATTGCTGCGTTAACCACGCCTATAAACGATACTTGCCCCTGACCCTCATTGGAAAAAATATACGGGGCAGCAGTAAGGTCGATGGAACACTGGTGCCCGAAGCATAGGGAACACGCATCCCGCTTTGCTTTGGGGTTGGTATTTCAAATGACCTTAATTGAATTTGACATCTGTTTGAAATCTGCTTCAGAAGCTTAGTAGTACACACGACTACATGACTATCCTTCCGGCATCGACCGTCAATCATCGTCATCACCGCGGGTACTGCCGCTTGAATTAATTTCTATTTACATTTTCTTCAATCTGCTTATGCTTAAATTGTTACTTCAATTTTATGGAAATTATAATGGTGTTTAAAGGTAGCAAAACTTCCCATTTAAAATTGTGCAAGAATTTCTTGATCAGCTTCTTTCTGGTTGCTATCTTCATACTTTTCAACAATTCGTTTGACTATAGTTGTAAGGTAGAATTGTATTTTTTGTCCGACAATTTCTCTTTCCTTAATTCTATTTCCTTAACAGTGTGTCACGAAACCAATTTTTTAACTATATTTTTTATTGATCGGTCGTAGTCGTCTTACGTCCAGTGGTCACAGTCACAAAAAGGGTTAAAGACGTGATTTTAGTGATATTAATATCCAGCATTTTATCCAAGAAATGCTGCGCAGGGAAGGGCGTTCTGCTTCCGACAGTGTTTTCTGTTTCGGGCATAGCTGAGATATTGCCGGTGTGATTTTCAAAACTAGGCCAATTCTTTGCAGGCCGATTTTTGCTGTGATGGTTTGAATCAATTTTCTTATACCATCATGCCGTTTGCAAAAGCTGCATATTCTGTAATTCGTATGCTGTGAAGGCCATGCACAGGCACCTTCCCGATCATTTAATGAATTATTGTTAATATTTGCAATTCCCGAATAATGACAATATTATTGAAAATTCTTGGTGAATAATTGGTTGAGTTTGTACGAGTATATTGAAATATTTTCCCCGATCAGATTTGGATGATGGAATTGAGCTGTACAAGATACGTTATGTTATGGCCTCGTAGCTCTACACGACTCCATCAGTCCGTTATTTGTGTAGGAAACGGACTACAAACGAAGTTGGATAAATGTTATAGATCGTTAGTTTCATCATTGTAATTCTTTCTATCGACAGTGGGAACGAATGTACTCAGACTTTGGACGGTTTTTTGTGCATTGTTTAACGTAGAATTGAATTAAGCACTAAATGTGAAATGATGATGATCAACTGACGAGGAGAGGGTCGAAGTCAACAGCAATTTCCCAGCCCACACTCGCAGTAGAAGACTACACGAGTCTAGGAGTACCCTTGTTTGGTTTGATGCAGCGATCTGAGACGCTCGGAGACCACGCCTTAGTTTAAGACCGCGAAAGCAAGCATTCAGCATCTTATGACGTATGTTGAGCTTGCCTGGAAATTCGTCACAGCTAGGTGACAGGAGGGGGATCATGAACTAAAATGTGNCAAGATGTCTGAAAGGAATTCCCCAGATTCCTGCCAGACAATGACCAACACAAAGCGGGGGGGGGGTTCTCTTCGTCTCATACCTCGCTGCATATGAAACTGTGCAATGCATGCTGTGCACATATGCTGAATTCTAGGAACGAATTGTGACAGGTGGGAGCATCGTGAACTAAACTGTGCAATGCATGCTGTGCACATATGCTGAATTCTAGGAACGAATTGTGACAGGTGGGAGTATCACGAACTAAACTGTGCGGTGCTGTGCAAATTTGCTGAATTCTAAGAAAGAATAGACTCAGTGAAAAGGGACCATCTGCATTAGCAAGTACCTCGATTTATGCTGAATTGCGAAAGCCTAGTTAGTTATAACTTATCTTAACTGAAATAGCCGTTCTCAGTATTGCTCCTATAACGTACATAGATCTGCCACATGAATAATTTATTATGAACTTGGTTGAATTAGGATGTGAACGGCATCATTGGTGACGAACGAGTGACCAGTAAAAGAAATATAGTTTTTTGCTTTGCCTGCTGTGGGCAGTTTTGCATGATTTGCATATTTGGCGTGCCCCTGCAAATGCAATGCCGTACCCATACCTTGTGATTCACGGAATCACTCAACCTTATCCCTATATAACTTGAACGGCCCTCCGGCTTAACCATTCAGGTGAAGTCACAGAAATCGAGCAACTGAGTAGATTTTTTACCTGTTTCATTTCCCGTGGTCTCCAATTGCTAAAGCCCATCCCCGTCCCACCCCAAGGAGTTCGTACACCATTCTTTTCCTCGTTGAGGTTTTCTTTTCTTTCCGAAATCCTTTCTCTTTTATTCTCAGGCATGCCAGCTTTTGAGTCGTGTTTCTCCTGCGGCATGTCAAAGCGAACACCAAGCCCAGCTGTCCCTTTCTCCGCTTACAAATCTTTCACCTGGCAGGCACTGTCTTTTCAAATAGCCTTGTCAAGCCAACCCAGAATCGCTTCCGCAGAGTCTTTCGACACAGGCAGGAAAAACAACGGCCTATCGGTCTGCCCCAGATCAGAGTACACAGAGCCACTATCTGTGAGAAATTGGACGAGGTATTGACGTCTTGTCCATGTAGATCCTCGAAATCGTCATATTTTCATTCTGATGATCTACCAGTTAGAGGAAGGTTGAGACAACGTATTAAATTTTGGCGTGACATAGGTACTCCGGGTATGATGTTGTCAATCGTTGAAAATGGCTTTGTAATTCCTTTCGTAGAAGAACTCCCGGCGTTTTTTCTCCGTAATAACGAATCTGCTTTAAGTGAGGCCGCTTTCGTGACAGATTCTGTATTAGAATTGTTGGCTTCTAACCACATTGTAGAGAAAACCCATCCCTCCTATGTCGTCAGCTCTTTATCCATTTCATGTTCAGCATCAAAGAAAAACAGGCTCATCCTTGATCTCAGTGTTCTCAATACTTACATTTCTAAGAAACACTTTAAATTAGATGACTGGAAGTTAGGTATTCAATATCTTTCGTCCAATGCCCTCATGGTATCTTCTGATTTAAAGTCGGGCTGCCACCATTTCGACATGGCTTCTGTCTCCCACCGATATTTTAGGTTTTACTTGGAGCATTAACGGGGTAGACAGATACTTTGAATTTACCGTATTGCCATTTGGGCTAACAACTGCCCCTTACATATTCAATAAAGCTCTCAAACCATTAGTTTTTCACTGACGGTCCTGTGGTATTCTGATAGCTCTCTATCTGGATGACGATTTTATTGTCGATCCACGTTCCAAAGCACTCTTCTGACCATTCTCAGATAGCTTTAGGTATCGCTAACCACGTACGCTGTGATCTCCTAGAGGCACGTTTTGTATACAACATATCCAAGAGCATTTGGAATCCTGCATCTTCCATCGATTGGCCGGGTATGAGATAGGATACCACACAGGGTACGCTGCAGGTACTTAGGACGTAGGACTGATAAAATTTAAGGCATCTATAGAGTTCCTGTTCAATCAATTTTCGTCTCTAACTATTAGGGACTTGCATTCATTTGTACCCTGTAAAAAAACGTTTGGAGTTTAAACACTTTTTTGTCCCCACTTTCTCCACACGTTTAACCTATTACATGTTTATTAAAATGTGTTTAGGAATGTGCTTAAAACGCTAGACGCTTTTCCGTCGTACATGTTTAGCTTTTTGAAATCCGTTAGCATTTCAACACATTTCTAAACGCATAACGCTAAACATGTCGCGGTTAAACATGTCAAAAAAGTGGGCACAAAAAATGTGTTTAAACTCTAAGCGTTGTTTGTACAGTAGGCCAAATCATTTCCTTGTCACCCTTGGTCGGCAATATTACAAGGTTGGTGACTCGTAATTGTCAGACGATAATCGCTGCCGCCTCCGATGAAAGTGATCCATTTGTCCCTTCAAATGCCTGCTTATCTGAGCTTAAGTTTTAGAGAGATAACGTCCAACATTTTAATGTGCGTTTCCTTTTTGCCCATCAGGTTGTAAATAGAATAATTTGTTCGGATGCTAGTTCAACCGGCGCGGGAGCTATAACCTGCAATGACGTCCACACTGCCCACAAGCTGTGGTCTCCGGCAGAATCAAAACAGAGTTCAACTTGGTATGAGCTCGAGCCTATTCGATTCGCCCTGCTCTCTTTTCTTCCCTTAATTCGTGCTTCTGAGTTAGAATCACTCACCGACAGTCTATGTGCAGCCAGGATTATCAAACCTGGCAGCATGAAGCCACACCTTCACAACTTGGCTGTGGATATTTTTTTGTATTTGTCTCGGCAATTCTATTCGCCTTAATGTTGAGTGGGTTCCTAGGACCATAAACAATCAAGCCGATTTTTTCAGCAGAATAATTGACACAGATGACTTGGTCTCTTTCAGACGAATTCTTCACGTTGATTAACTCTTGCTGGGGTCCATTTACGATCGACTGCTTCACTACCTTTTATAATTCTAAATTGCCTCAATTTTATTCTCGTTCTTGGAACCCACATTCATCAGGCATAGACGCTTTCGCTTACAGCTGGCATAGCGAAAATGTATTATTGGTTCCCCCGTAGTCATGATTCCATCCACCCTCAAGCACATGTATCACTGCCGATCCTGGTGTTCTTACATTTCCATGGTGGCCTTCCCAACCATTTTGGCCTTTGCTGTGGTCGCATCACCGCGCCTGGATTAAGGACTTCATTACTCAATTGGGTTCTCGTGAGCTTAAACACAGTAGAAATGGAAATAGTCTCTTTGGGTCAAATAATTTCGATGGCTTCATAGTATTAGCATATACAGATTTCGAGTTGGTGTAACAGCTTTATTGGATTTGTACTTTATTATCAAGATTCCCACACTTATCTAAATTTTCCTCCTTCTCGTGTGCATACAAATCGTTCGCAACCATTCCTTCTGGCGTGATTTTCCATGTTAATTTCAAGCACAGAAGGAGTCTATCCAGCTGGATACGATTTTTGCTAAATCGGAGAGTACGGTGTCGTCTTATCTCTACGAAACTCGTCAATTTCTGTTCTGGTTAGATTCGCAATGTATTGCCCCGGTGTTGCTAATTTCTGAACAAGACCTGACATCCTATTTGTCCCGAACAAAATCGAAATTGAATTCTGATAGTGTTTTGATTTCCACCGCCGCCGCATTGCGGTGGTTTCATTCCCTAATCAATTCCAAAAGCAATCCACTTGATTCACCCATCATACAAGACACTGTGTTTTCTGCGACCTCCACCATCATCCTGTACAAAACACCTAATTTTTCCCACTCAGGTCAAAGCAATTGTCGATCTGTTTGCAGGTCCGGGCTTCGCTATTAGATCTTAGATCTGCCCGTTACGTCTCAAGTACGACATAACGAGATGGCCGGTATGAAAGCCAATCATTTAACTGAGATTAGTTGCGATGACAAAAAGGGTATTTTTATCTTCAACCCCAAATCCAAAACTGATATTTTTTAGAGACGGTAGCTATGCCTTTTTGTGTGACACTTTGGATAATTATTTACCTGTCACAATTTTGCGTCGATATCTAAGCGAATCTGGTATACAATTTGGTCAGGACAAATACTTGTTCACTCCCGTTACATTTTTGTCCGGTTCAAATACGTAAAAGGTTGGGGCTAACAGACCCTTAAGTTACACTAGGTGCCGAGAATTATTACTTGAGGCCTTAAGGCGCATAGGTGTAAATGATCCTAAGGGATACAGCCTACACAGCCTCCGATCTGGTGGAGCTTCTTATCTTGCAAACAAATATGTTCCTGAAGCTTTAATTATGCAACATGGTCGATAGAAGACCACTGAGGCAAAAAAATAAATGTGTCAGATGGAATACTAAAGAAAGATTAGATTTGTCACTTGCACTTTTTAGGGAGTAATCGCTGATAAAATATTTCATAGCTCTGCAAGTATCCCTGGCCACAGCTTTCTATGTGTAAAAAGGCTAATTTTTTAGCCGGTTAGCGTTCTGTTTCCACATATGAAGAAGTGATGATTAAGAAAGCAGATGAATAATCCATTGTTAAAAAAAGCTTCAAGTCAGTCATCGTTTGTTTCGCTTTGTTTGTGTATGTATGTTTGGATCAGATGATTTGATTAATGCAGGCTTAAATTGGATGTATAGCGAAGTATGGATCAGATGATCCAAGACGGTTAGATGACATTTAGTGGATGTTAAGAAGAAGAGAAGAAAAGAGTGTTAAGAAAGTGAGAACAAGTCCATTGTATCATAATTTGGTAAGCTCGGTATTCGTGACACACCACTATCCCATGCTAAATAAATACACCTGGAAGTACAACCCATTGCCTCTCTCTCCTTTGTATGGCGGTCTATAACACTAAACTGCTTTTCGTGCGTATGGGCGTAGCGAAGTAGCGCGAAATTTTGTTGAGTAGAGACACAAAGTGTGTATTCATATTAGATTAACTCATTGCCAATTTACTATAGACACAAAGTGTGTAATGACAACTGATTAACTAATTGTCTTACTTAAGACAGTGCGCACCTGTTCGTTTATTACCTTAAATTGTGATTTGTTCCTAGGAAATAAATTGTAAATGTATTTTAATTTCTATATTTAACCTTGCGGCGAACTTTCTTTCTCTGGCAATATTCCGTGAATTTACGCAAGTTTTCCCCTCCACGTAGGAAAAAAATATTATTCTTGGGTGATTCTGACACAGAGGTCAAAAAAGCAGTTATTTCTTGTTTAAACTGCATGGTAACAATCGGTCCGGATTCCAATGATTAAAGCAACATTAGCAATGATTTTCTTTTCTAACAGACAATCATTTGTCCCAGGACTCATGTATTTTTAAAAAAAACTTTATTCCTTACCAAGCATGAGCATTGCCGTCACTATGATGTTGGTCAGGAGAGCGAAGAAGCAGAAGACGAGATGAGTCCGCGGTCCGAACCTCGCCATGATGACCTGGAGGAAAGTCTTGGCTCCCGGGGCACGCGTCTTCATCTGGGCTGAAAGGGTGGCAAAAAGGAGAAGAGGGATGGTCGCCCCTGCAGCGTACCAGAAGGGTCCACTGATGCCGGTCTGTGGAGTGACAGATGTAGTTTGGCGCATCAACATGCCCAAAACACTTGTGTTAAACCAAACGGTTGGGCGCGTTTGGAGCAGCAAGTCAACTTTATATGCCGTGTGTCCCTACTTTCTGAAAACAATGTCCAGGCCTGAATGGTTTCAGGCAAAATGGAAGGGTTATGGTCGGTTCCTTGTTACAGTTTGTTCTTTGCTGTACAGGGTTGGGTTCATGTTTCATGGTTAAGGGAATTCGCACAATAATATAACAGAAACAAAAGAAAACTACATGTATATAAACAATCACAAGATCGGCTTTCATCGAATTTGTTTTTTTTTACCGTCGTTGCTACTGCTGACGATTGGAGGAGGGTAGCTGCCCACGTCCACTGTGACACGACGGTTGTGGCTGTTAGTCCCATGGACACCTGTCCACCAGCATCAAAGTCTGTGTCCAGGTTGTCCTGAAGGAAGAAAAATGCATCAGTTGCAGGTTCAAACTCCCATAATATGCTCATATACCATATGACGTCGAACATCCAATGTGTATTGCATTTTGAAACAGAAAGAGGCAGGTTTGACTGCACGTGCCTGTAGGTTATTAGCAGAGAGTTGTTTCTTTCACTTGTGTAATTCACCGACTGAAACACGTACATGTTGAGATATACCTCAAGTTCGTTAACAGCTTCAGTCAAAACCTCTTATTCTTTCATGTATGAGATTTCAGTTGGGGACATACTTTCCTTCAGTGCCCACTAATGAATGTGGAAACAAACTCACAAGCGCAAAATGTCTTGAACGGAGACCCCTCTGATGCGCCGAGTGGTCGAGAAGTGAACACGTCCACTCATGCTGTCTTATTATCATATTTTCATGGTTTATTAAGAGCACTAGGTTTGCAGCCCGAAGACCAAATTGCCACATTGTATACATCCAAATAAACAAATTGAAGAAGCACTGATTACAACATAGAAGAAAAGTGCACTAAAAAGAGGAGAACTAAAATGTAGAATAAAACGCAAATATAAAATTACAGTACACTGAAAAGTATAAGATTTAACTGTTTAAAAGACTTACAAAACATGGGATGGCACTGTTCTCATAACGCATGTTCTTGCATTTTAGTATTGCACGTGACTCTGTCTTGGTCGTGGTAACCACTCACGAAACACGTTAGAGTTCTTCAATTTTAATGCAAAGCCCAGCGGAAAGGCAAGATTACATTTTATCCGGACCTGTCCAAAGTCAATACAATCAATTCCCAAGATGGTTTCCAGGGCACGTTTTTGAATGCTCTCCAATTTCTCAACCTGAGCTTCAGTTAATTCAGCATTCCAACCTTGTTCAGCATATTCAGTGAGGGGCCGGATGTGACCTTTTATACACGCTGTTAACAGGTCAGAAATAGGTATAGTAAATTTTTTTCAGTAATTTAAGCGTCAACGTTTTATTGTTTGCCTATATAAATATTCCACGTTTGTTCCGTTGGAGGTTTGAACTAACCAAAACTCCATGAATGTTCATACATTCAACCGTTTGAAAATCAGTATCTAGGATCTGAAGAGGTGAAAGTTGAGGAGAATTTTCTTGAAGCAGATATTCATTTTGTCGGAATTAATTGTCATGGTGTTGATCTTAACGCCACAGGATTGAAAAATTTCAAATGTTATAGGAAAGCCCTCAAGGGCGGATCCGGAACCAATTTAGGGTTTTTTTTGGGGGGGGAAGGACAGCATTGTCTGGGGAGCAGAAAATATTTGAAATTCTTATGTAAACCCAGTCTGTCTGGGTGGTGGGGCTACATTAAGGGGCTTTTTACACGCTTCTGGAAGGAAGGGACCGAAACACACCCGTAAATTGTCTTTTTCTCGCTGTTTTTCGAAATTGTTACAGCTAGGACGAAAAGGAAAATTCGAAGCTTTGAGGGAAATTCATATCTTTAGTAAACAGCTGGAGTTTAAATGCTCATTGATCCGATATTTAATAAAATGACAAGAATAGATCGCTAAATTGACAATACGGCGAATTTGTATTACTTCAAAGTAACTGGGGGGTTGTGCGTCTGAGTTTACTGTGACGTACAATAACCACACAAATTCATTCTCGGTAGGGAATTCGCTCGCAAAGGGCTGTTTCCTCGTCAAGGGGATAAATTCCATTGTAAAAGTTGAATCGCATTGCGTGCTTTTGTCGAAGAGCCATTGAACGGTTCTTTTGTTGTAATCTGATGACGTGAACCACAACAAACCCGTGAAGAAATTGAAACCTGTGATTTAACCCGACCTTCGACGAGATTCTCAATTTCATTACCGCCCCCGAGGTGCAGTATCTGCTTCATAGTGTAAAATGGCTATTGGTACTCTGCATATAACCCGCGCCGAGGTTTCATATCGTGCACATGGGTTGAGGCACCAGTATTATGACGTCAGTGTGCATGCATTCATGCTTTAATACGATTTACCTGTTTTCTTCAAAGCTCTATTAAATCAAAACTTAAAACCTACACTGAGAAGTTCCTTCTTTTACCGTCAGGAATGCCCTAATTCTCTCTAATGCTAGCTTGGACTACACGAAAATGGTGGTTCTTTGCCTTTTGTTATAAAATCATTTTAATTGTAGGTGGCGTGTCCACTTACGGTACTGTGCCTCTATCAAAGATCGCAGCACAAAATTCCCCAGCCTTTAACATAAAATGTGAATATTTTGAAACGTGGCTGAAACTAACAGCACCTTAAAGAATTTTAAAGAATAATTAATCGGATCGACGGTACCACTCTAATACTTACGTTCTTAGCAGCAGATTAAGGTACAAATAATGTACACTGTAGTTCGAATGGTTGATTTTTCTTAGTAGACGGCTTCTATGTTTGTACTATGTCGTAGGCTTATACCATTTTTATATTGTGTCTTATATCTGTCAACAGTTTATCGAAACTAGTTCCAACCCTTATCATGCAGTAGGACTGCCGTACGAAACATACCCTGCTAGACCATCTCATGAACTTGTTTTAGTAGGTAAGAAGTCCCAAAGTACCGTGCCAACAACAACCCCCACAAAAAACGTATCTAGAGGTCGGATACCACATTCAGAACCACTGTCCTTGGATACATGAATACAAATCGATCTAAAATTTGATGAAACCACGGAAATCTCATTACCAGCGTCCACTGCTGGCACACGTTTTTGACATGATATTCGGACTTGGGACAATAGTGGAAATTATACAGAGTAAAACCTAAACCAATTACTGATTGTGATCAGGTGGATGAAAGGCTGACCTTGCCAGTCGTCTTCTACCGAATTATACTGCCGACGGAAGCTCTAATGCCTTTTCTTCTGAAACTGTAGATTCGGAGGATTAGTTCTCGCATTCCTGCAGCCCTTGGTCGCATTATAAGTTGGTTGTCGCATCAATTGTTACATCAAATTGACCACATCAATATTTGTTTGGATTCACTGAAGAATATCAGGCGCGGATGAAAATACCCTCTTTGTTAAATCCAAATAGCTGCTCGCATCCAATGCAGTACGGCCTTGCGTGGATTTTAACGAGATATTCCCCATCTACGCACATTGAAAGCGCCAAAAGTAATGTTTTTCGTTGTGTGCTAAACCTCTCTCGACAACGACTTTCCCAGGATGGCGGATATTCCAACCTAAAGTTATACTTTTTGTCTGTAGGTAACCAGACATCGCGGGCGAGCCTGTTTAATTGATCAGTCTGCCGCCGCAGAATCACACACTGTTCTTTGAATCTTACCAAAGCCATTTAGGCTCAATATTCAAACAGGTCTAGCTTTAATTTACACCTTTCAGTTTTAAATCATTTGGTATCTGTACGAGTAAACAGGTACACGACACTTTTATCTATGAAAATAATGTGATCACTTTCATTATTAAAATAATGAATAGCTCTGGAGCAATGTTCATGACCAAGAACGAACGGGGAGGGGGCAAAACCAAACTAAATAAAATTTTGCAAGAGAAAGGTCATGTTCTGACAGTTAAATATAATCGTTGAATAAAAGCGTAAAATGTCAATCTGAGAAGATTAAAACTGAGTCCGGCAAGCTGTCTAGCTTGGAGAAATACCACTGACTATGGAAAAGGTCCGAAACCAGCCAGACGCTAATATAATGACAATCATTCTGAACTGGAGTATCGTTGTGCTTGGATTCGATTCTAGTCCCAAATATCCATCGACGGTGCACGTGGTTTGTTTGAAATTGCGTTGCGCCTTAATTTTGTTTGCACGTCATCACCACGCTCCACCAATCCAAACACATTTACATGAGGCCTTGAGTGGAAGAACGAAATCCCTACAAGTAAACGGAGCGGGTCATCCACACGCGCGAAGCGAACACTTGCATAATTACAAACTGAAAAAATTCACGCTGGAATTGGTGAAATTAATCAAAAAGGACAATCGAGGAACGATGCACACCAGTTTGTATCTTGATCAAGCACAGGCTCTGTTGTATCCTCGAATTGGTCTCCAAGGTGTGCAAAACTTGGGCGGATGGGCTCCTCGTCAATTGCCACATTCATTATCCGTTGACAGTTCAATCAAAGGTGGCCATGCGAAACCAAGGAAGACCATTTACTGAGTCGGCGGATTGCCTCTCAAGGCTGGCAGGCACCCAGAATTCCTAAGGAAGGTGTCACACTGAGTCTAATAAGCCAACTCCCTGTTCTTTTCCTTTTTAATTCTCCATCGATTTAAGTCTGAGGGGGGGTTGTGCATCCCTCGCGATCATGACGTACAAATACCATCTTCCACCCAAATATTCTAATGCATGCTGATTCAATAATAGAAAGGTAAGAAAAAGACATGAACAGAAAAAACAATAATGACCCAACACGATCTCAATGAAGCAAGAGCCTTGATATCCGGCAAAAAGTGCAAAATTACAGAAATGTCTTCACAATCTAATTATTCCGTTTGCATTTCCCTGGCAGTGTCATAATTTCACTAGATTCCGACTTCTCCTGATTTTTCCCCCCGAGTGAAGTTCACGAGTCTGGATTTTCCGACAGCCGCGGCGATAGAGGAGATCTTACAAATCTGTCATCCAGCTAATCAGAAGATCTCCTGCTCATGAAAAGCACTTCATGTCGCCTTTGTCTTCAATTTTCTAAAGTCGTTTATATGCATTCGCCACAAAATTGCCTTGGTTTTTTTCTTTGCTGTGTATATAATGAACCATTTATTTGATGTTGCTTTTGTCGACCGCGTTGCTTAATGGACAGCTTGATAGCGCAGGTATAATTTGATATAGTCTGCTGATAGTGGAGCCACGTTGTCCAGATTACACCTCAGATGGCGTCATTCTTGTCATTGTGCCCAAACAGCAACATGAAAGAACTTTTTTTTCAATAAACTTTTATTTAAGTTCCAAAGCATACATACTCTTCAACGCAAATTACGAAGCCCGCACTTTGATTTCCCCGGTGTGCATTTTC